TATATATATATATATAAAAGCTGACGTAAGCCCACTAGCCTAAAAGCTGACGTAAGCCCACTAGCCTAAACTACATATAAGCCCAACAACTCATATTCAATCTGGGCTAATCTAACAATGACAACTTCATTTCGTATTTTAATTTTAATTGTTTTTCTATATATCTAAATCACACAAAATTTTAGGCGACTATTGTTCTCATCAAAGCATATTTAATAAAAATATTAAAAAATAAATTCATAAAATATAAATTGACCAAAATACCCCTAAAAAGTTTCGAGGGTATTTTGATCAATTTAATTTTTATAAATTATTTTTTGATATTTTTAATAAATTATCTTAGTTTTAAATAACACACGCTCAAAATTTCTTGTGATTTAGATTTGTAAAAAAAAAAATTTAAAATTAAAATATGCAATCATAATCATTGCATCGGCTCAGATTGAATATAGACCATTACACTGTTATGTAGCTATAGGCTAGCGGGTCTACAGCCCATCCCTATTCCCTTCGGGGTAAGTCCAACATGGACTTGTCAAAGAGGTCAAGGCCGTTCTGGCCCTATCAGTGTCAAGCCCGGCCCTTCAAGCCACATTTTGTAACCCAAGACTTAGTTCTCTAGGACCGACCTTGGCCACCCTACCGATGGCCACTCTTACCTATGTACCTCTGAGCATCCAAGCTATACTTTAGAGCCTCGGCTCTATACAAACCACACCCTTTAAAAAATTACAGTGGATGTATAAACTCTTTGATGTATAAACTTCTTTTTTATTATAGTGGATGGTGGATCTAGGCTTTTAAAAATTCAAGATCATTTCTTGCTAAGTTGTTTATTTGCAAATAAAAAAAAAAAACTGTATACAATAAGACTATTTATTTGTTATACAAAGAAATCACATTTATTATTTGATCATTAGATGTGAAATTGAATGGTCGAAGATGTGTCATTAATTAGACAAAGTCCAAAATAAAATTTCCCTAGTGTTGTGGTACAATTCAATCCATTGAATTTCACAATCTATTCCATTTCACGTCCAACGGCTAAAAATAGCTCAGCTTCTGTCGTAGAATCTTTTCCCTTTGTTCAGGTCTCCCTCTCACATTTTTTCAAGTTACAACGAGGGACTATACAATATTTTTCTCCAGATACCCCATAATACACTCTCATTTCAACAAACCTGTAAGTTTGGTAATAATGATGTGGCTCATCAAGGCAAACAAAAATATACGTAAACCTACAGCTAGAATTCATCATCTTCAGATGCCGATCTGGTTACTGGAACGGACCACCTCCCGAGGTGGGCCGTGTAATTTGTGCACCTGATTAGGCCTTTCCCGGCCGGTCCATCAGGAAAGTCTAGAACACTGATGCTACCATAATCCAAATGGAAGTGTTTCATCCAATCTTTTCTGAGGTTAAGGCAGCGTCCTATCAATGCAATATTCATCAATGGATGACCAACCACCACAATGTTGTTTTCTGATTCAGGTTCATCCCTTAAATGAGTTAGAATAGACAGCCAAGCATTCCCAGCCTTCTCCCACAACAATCCTGAGGCACCTTCTTCCTCAGAACTTTTATACGCAATTTCGTACTACAGTGGTGAAAAAGATGAGAAATCAAGAAGAAATTTCAGGCTCATTCACATTGGAAGATATATATGACAATCCAATGCATTGCTATATGCCACACTTCTTATATTACCCAGACGATTCAGTTCTTGCTGAAGTATCACTTGTTGGCAAATGTCACAATAGGACACTATGTTGACACTTCCAATCACGAGGATGTTGAAAAGATGCATTGGGCAAATGGTTGCGGTTTGAGCAAGAATGTTATGTTTCAATCTCATTTGGCCTAGTGCTGCCCCAACTATATCTAACTATAATAAATAGGAGCTACACATGCATGTGCACGTGCGCACAATCACACAACACAAGTTCGTATGGTCTAGTGTCTTGCCACATAGGCTTTTTAGGTTGAAGTACTAGACACTTAAACATGCATCGGATTTGGTAACTTATGTCCCATATCTCAGTAACAAAACATACTTCAATAATTGAATAAGTGAAGTACGTTTTCCTACTCAGCTTGGGTTAGGGTTCAATCTATCAGGGAGATAATACATATAATAGACTTCTTACCTCTGCTGAATGAAATGGCAAATATTCGAGGTCTTTCATCTGCTTTATCTCCACATACCGGGGAACACAATCTGCTCCCAAGCAGTCTGCAGCTTCTTGCACCTTCAAATCAATCTCAAGTCAGAAGGCAGACAAAATGTAATGACAAGACAACTAGGCTGTTGTTTTGTAAATTGTAATCACAGAGTGAAAGAGAGAGAGAGAGAGAGAGAGAGAGAGAGAGAGAGAGAGTGGCTAAATGGATTGAATCGAAAATCATTGATCAATACAAGTAGTTACAAACACCATAAAAGTGTTACCTTGCATATTGCGGAAGCTGTATCAGAAGCAGCTATATAAGGACCACATATTATGGTATTCACCTTCAAATCCAAAAGGAGTTCTGCAGTTTTCTGGGACTGTGCAGTTTGGATTTAAGAAACTAGAAGTTTAACCTTGGAGCTCATAGATTCATTTCATTAACTTCAATGTACTGGAGAGATAAGTACCTGTATGACTCCAAGCATGTTCATGGACTCGTTTCCTAAAGCAGGAATTCCTAAAGCAGGAACAAGACCCTGCACAAATAATCAAAATGGCAATAATGAAAAAATTAATAATTCCTCAAAAAAACTGCAACTATGTAATATGGCAATAGGAAGAAGAAAACTGAGAGAGAAGAAAACAGCTAAAGTATGAAGTCAAGGGACTATCAAAAGCAGTTTTAATAACCAGGAACTGGGCAGTTATGAAACTCTCGCCACTCCACTAACTTGATTGTCCTAATACAAGAGGACTAAAACCAGGCCAAGGACATGAGAAAATACGATTGCATTTGTGCTTGTGGGCAACCTAAACTAAAACTCCATTTTTTTTCTTTTATTTTTTATTTTTATTTCTTACTGTTAGAATCCAAACTCTATTGAACTTAAACTTAGATACTCTTTATTCATTCGTGATAAATAATACCAAGGTGTCTTCCAAATATAGTACCAACTGTATGAGCACTCCACATAGTGGTGATGTACAATGGGTAGAATCAAGGACACAAAATGCAGCATATCAATACTTAAGCACATACTACCCTATTTATTGTAGGGAAAAGTTTATATAGAGCCAAGGCTCTAAACAATCAAATTAGAGCCTACCTCAAAAATTTCACTAGAAGAGGTTGTTTTAATGCCCAAATATCCTCAAATTGATCATCTAGACATCAAGAAGTATGGACATGAGAAAAAAATGGATTTCAAGTTTAGAAAATAGTGTGTTTTGTAGCGCATTTTTGGACTGTCAAATTTCAAGATTTTCAAGTTTTCATAGATCTCTCGATCTACACTAATTTCAAAGCTTTAAAATTTATAAATAAAGATAAAAATATATTTTAAGGCCATCAAAAAAAATTCCAGTATTGAAACCACATTTCTCGACACTATTTGAAGGTAGGCTATAATTTGATTGTTTCGAGCCTAGGTTCTATACAAACCACACCCTTTATTGTATAATTAAGACCAAACCACAAGAAATCTTGCAAATTTAAATCCAAGTTTAAGATATAACTCGAGAGAAGTAATACGTAAAAAATGGCAATCCTAAACATCTCGGTGTAAACCTAGCCTAGAAAACTTTAGAATAATGAAAGACTCATGATTCCATACCTCGGCCGTGCTCTGAAGAGTTCCATGACAGACAAGTATAATCCGCTTATTAGTTTTTCTACCTCCTGAACTTCCTGGAGCAATAGGGGGATTTGGGGTCTGCAAGCATATTGTAGGAGTGCTATCACTATTTTGCTGATTCTGATAGTACCAAAATCAGGATGGAACAACCGGAAAGCATTCGCTCAAGCAATTTAATAGAACATGGAAGAAGGATGTATAAGTAAAATTTCAAACATCGAGTACAAATGCATATTTATAAGAAAATATTGCATTCATATGTACTTGGAGCTTTGTCAATTACTTAAGAAATACATGAAACCGAGACAAATGTGGGTAGTGACAACATAAATGGCAGAAATGCCACAATCACTGAAATGCCGAAGACCAGAAACAAAATTCATTGATGGGAAGTGGAGAAAACAAAGTTTGTTCAACTTAACTAACAGCATGAGACAAAAATGCCTATAACAGACCCTGAGAGAGATGCTCTGATCAATAGGGTATGTATAAGGATTGAGCAGTAAAGTAGCAAATGTAAAAAAAACAAAAACAAAAAAAAATCTCCAGCATTTTCATATCATATACATATCCTTGTCCATTTGCATCCTCTATGCCTCCTTATTGACTTCACTAGCCACACTACTTACATCTACCACATCACAATCTCTGTTAACCCTATGGTCTAGAAAGACAGATCCCACAAGATCCTACTTCTCTTATGCATTCAGTTTGCTCCAGCAAGGACATAATTTAACCATCATTCTCAACATCTCCCTCTATGTCTTCGATATACTTTTCAACCGTGATCACTGAGACTACTTGACTCCTTGCATAAACTATTTAGTCTTCCACCAAAACAATGCCACCATCTTCCTGAATGACCAAAAATGGGAGCTTTATGAACCCTCTATTACACATGAAAGTAGAATTTACCATTCAAAATACTAAAGGTTGCAATAAGTGTTTTAAAAATCACAGAACTAGCTCGGAACCAGTGGGGTATCAGACCAGGTTTAAAAATCCCAGTATTTCCTTGTTCTCTACCGGCTCTCACAAGATCTTTTTATTTTTTAACAGAAAAACACCCTGGAGAACCAGTGAGCCGGCTCGGAAGATCAGAACTGGTGGGTGACTTTTTTTTTTCTTTTTTTTGAGGAACATAAAGCACTGGCCCGATTTATAAAACACTGATTCTGACGATTGATATGGAACATAAAGTACCTGCAAATCAAATTGGAGCAATCAACATGCGGTGGCATGAATCATAGCTATCAATTGCTTTATAAATTAGAGACAGCCAAGTATTATTTGTCAAGTGAGTACTTTCATAGTGAAGGAAACAGATCAGAATTCATGCTACCAAAAGGCATCACTCTCAAAAACAACAGTTATCAAAAGATATGCTGAGGGAGGTATTGGCATGGACAGCATAATCTTCTTCATGTCAAAAACCTGATCTGGCTTTTGGTATCTGCCAGTTCTCATTTTTATTAAATGCTAAATAGGCACATAATCAACAGATTTAAGATCAATGCTTCTAGTACAACTCATGATTTATGATAATGATTATCCACTATATATGTGATAGTTTAGACAAGGAAAAAAAGATAAAAAAGGAACAGAGGGAATTGGGTAAAATGATAGAGTTGGGCAATTAATGAATAGGCAGAAACAACAAATTCAAAATGTCATCCCCTTTTGCAGAACTAGGACTTCATAACACTTGCAAGTTACCTATACCACATTAATTATCATATCCCATTCTTCATATCTCGTTTTTAAGCTTCTGAATAGTATCCCAGATTTCCATAACCCCCCAATTGGTAGTGTGCCACAAATATCCTACTTAAAAGTGTACACATTGTCAGGCAACTGGCTACTAAATTTTTCACAAACAAGTATACTACAACTACAATCCTTTACTAGAGCACCCTGGGTCTAGGGGACTCTTTTCATTTTCAACTCTGAAATATATCCTTTACCTCAATTGCTTATTTATTTATAAGTAAGTTATTATCAAAACATTAAATAATTCACCAAAGCATCCACTTTTTTTCTTTTTTTCCCATGTTACTTCGTGCTCTTCTTGACAATCTCCTTGCTCTACGAATATTCCTACATGAACCTTTTAAAGTGAAAAATCACTAAGATCCCAAGAAAATTAAGAGTCATCTAGAATAGTACAGCCATTTTGGACAAGTTTGACAAAGAAAATTTGAGTAGCTACAAAGAGACTTTGCAAGTAATAAATGAAAATGTAACCCTTTTCATTAGAGTACTCCTGTATGCTAACTCAGACTAAATTGTGTAATGCGACTTTGAAACCCCAAACTCATCTATTGAGTAACTCATCCCTTAATACATGCAAGCCAAGCTGTCCCCCAACCTCATGTTGCTTCCGCTCTAGAATCCAGACCAAGCAAGTAACACATGACAGGGCGTAACGCCAGAGGGCTGGATATGATGAATTCCATAAGTAGAACCATCAAACAAATGCAGAACAAGTTTGCCCCCAAAACGCCTGCAACTTCTGTTAACAAAACAAGCAACTCCAAGCAGAAAGCATGGAGTATTTAACAGGCAACAGAAGGAAAGCTCCATTGATGATAAGTAATACTATGCACACAATGCTAATGCTGTACTGCCAAGTGCCCATTACGTTGAATCACCCACAATCAACGAACTTTTTAACGACTAAGGACAAACTGCCATCTCATGACAACTTAGGACGCAACATCTATTTGATGACTATAAGCTGCATATGAAGCTATTCGTGACAAGATGAAGAGCATGAGTCATGAGATACAAATTAAACTCGTATATTCTTTACTCTAGCACATACAAAGTATATCGACATCACCAGTAAAGGAAGCTGCCATCACGATGTCAAAGTGCTACTCTTAAGCAGCTTTAGGCAAATTTTCAGCCTCTGGAAGCCATATATCATCAAGGAAACTCTCATATTTGAATAGGAAATTATGAAGGAATTATCACAAATGGAAATTAGAAGATGAAACTCATTTAAATATCGAAAATCAAGCAGTTCAAAAACATAGCATGAGTTGTCAAAACTTCCTCTCTCTCTCTCTCTCTCTCTCTCTCT